GCTTTTGGTGTCCACGTACGACTAAACTCCAATTCAACCGCCATACAAAAAGTATAATGAACGGGTAAAGAACGCAAGAAGTTGGGTCCCCCTGAAATCGACTACAAATTCTTTAAATTATCGCTGATTTGCAGCCACGTCCTTAACGAAGAAGAATACAATATGATCAAGTCGTGTTTGGTGGTTTAAAAGTCGAGGAACGCAAATAAGATTTCTCTTTAGCTCAAAAAATTCATCATTCCGCTATGTGGCTATCATCAGATCGAAAATCGCGCAACCAAAACTTTCAGGTTGTAAAAGGCAACATGTATCCAGTATCCCAGATGTGGGAATGTTTTGCAAAATTCCACACTATGTAAGGTTTTATCTAATGTAACGTAAGATATTAAATTCCACTGCCAACGGGCAACTTAAGCCAAATCAGTGCGACTTCATTATTGGAAAATCTAAAATAGCCCGTGAGAAGAGGATCGACACACACCATCTCTTTGTCGGTTTGAAAGCTGCATTCGAAACCACGAAAAGGAGCTGACTCTAGGCTGTTATATCTGATTATGATATTTCTGCTCATTCTATTGTATATTTCAAATATATTCCGAGGAATATGGCATTAGCACTTTCATGTATACCGGTCATTTCATACTCTCATAAGCGACTCCTGTTTGATGATCTCTGTAAGTATAAAATTAATTTTTATATAAAAAAATTTTACTACTCGTTAAAATGAGAAATAATTAATAATTAACTGTGTTTTTTTTTAAGAAACAGAATACACTAATTACTTTGCCCCTTCACAATGTCAAATCTTTCCCTTTAAATAAACCTCTATATATAAACACATGCTTATGCACATATTTGTAGTTGTAAATCCCAATTTAAAATTAACGAAGCGACGATTTTTTGCTTAAGTGAAAAAGCACACATAACATATGGTATGCAATAAAACATGTGCACGTACATAAATAAATCAATACCAACTACAAGATGCCACAATGAAGTACGAGTGTTGTGGGTTCCACGATGAGTCAATTGAAAGTCACTTTATATGCATAAATTTGTTTGACGACTTATTCTCATACAACAAGCACACAAATCAATTGAAACCTGCATGCAAATTCTGTTTTTTTTCATATTTTTTAATTTTTTAAGTATGTAAAAACAACTGTTTACGCCGTGGATTATCATGAGAATATTTGTTGCTTGCGGTTTGCAATCAAACATTTAAAGCACAATGATTTATTTGTAGAATTTAATTTATTTGGACAAAGATTAACTAATCGAAGTTCATTAGTGGTTTTATTTGTAGTATGTAATTGCCCGCTTGTATGAACTATGCGAAGGCGGAGTGATGTTAATATTGAATAAAAAATTAATTGAATACAAATAGCACTCGCTTATGTATATATAATGTTCTGGCAATAAATAGTATCCTATATGCCATGCTAAATTAAAAAAAAAGATGAATTTTATTATTGTGATTTCATACTTTTTGTATGTACATTTTATTGCAATATTAAATTTATGTTAGAAGAATACGTATGTATACCTTATCCATTCGTGAAGAGTTACCTGGAGGAAGTAAATTTTAATGTAGATGCTTTACGGTGCAAGTGAAGCAATTCACCTTTAAATGTGTTTTCAACAAAAATAACACAATAGGACAATTGGAGGATGGGAGGATGGGACCATGTGGGTCCCCAAAAATTATTATTTTACATGTACAATAGCTCAATCAACTCACGATTTCCGGTTTTTGAGGCGACCTAAAGTTGTGCATAATGTTTGTAACTCTTCACGTGAAAAATAACGTACATTCTCTGCATCCTTCAAACAAACTAAAGGAAAGTTTCCACGTCGAAAAGCTGCAACCACAAAAACCAACTGAACGGTTTTCTAATCGGCTTGTGCACCGGCTTTCTGAGAGCACACGGTTTCTCAAATTCCCTACGTACCATCGGATGTACGTAAACGATTGTTTTTCTGCAGTGCCAGAAAAAGTACTAACACAATAAAGAATACCAAACTGCTGTGAAAAAAATAAGGCTGCGACATCACGCTCGACCACAGTACTGGCAGGGTGGGATAAATATCGAGAGTTGAAACGGGAAGCAAGACGCATTTGCAGACGAAAAAAGAGGCCAAAATGTATTAGTAGCAAGAGCTCGGTAGGCTGTCTGACAGTAGCAGTGCTCGAAAGTTATATGAAAAGATGTGGTGACTTACATGCGGTTTAAAGACCGGATCATACTCACTTAGGTATCGGTATGGAAATCTGTTGACCGCTGATAATGAAACTCCTAATCGATGATAATCGAAAATATGTTCCTTTATCCGACTATAAGGAGGTTCGAAAAACGATTACCCTCTTGAAGTACAACAAAGTGGTTGCATCCGCTGACTTACCCGCAGAGCTATTTATAAATTCCGCTAAAAAGCTTCCTGGATTTTGGATCTGTTAAATTCACCCTTGGGCTGATATTGACCCAGAGACTAGTATCGATATATATCACCTTTTAACCGACTTAAAGCAACCTTCGATAGTACAGTAAGGAGCTCTGCTACTAAGCCAAATTGGGAAGGACCGTTGGAGAAAATAATACGAGCTGCAGAACTGTATAGAGAAGGTACATTCTTTTATAAGAGTGTTTATCTGCTGGCGTATGCTGTTGGCCTTAACAACAGCGCTGTTAGTTCTGACTTCTCCAAGACTCTCAAAGAAGCAAAGCGAATGGGTCAAGACGTAATATCTCCTGTCATCAAACAACCAGTCATTGCATTAGCGATTTGGCTTTCAAGTCACTGTTGATAGTCATAACTTCGAGGTCGTAGATAGTTTCGTCTATCTAGAGGCCAGCATTAAAACGCCTTGAAGTCCAACGTAGAATCACTCAGGTGCAATCTTGGGCTCAATAGGCAATGGTAAAGTAAATTCCTCTCTCGACGAACCAGAATCGTACTATATAAGTCGCTCATCACTACCGTCCTGCTTTATGGTGTAAATAGAAGCAGATAAACGGTCTTGGGAGTCTTCGAGAAAAAAATTTTGCTCACTCTTTATGGTTCTTTGAGCCTATTGCGGTACTTATACAATAATAACAATACTGTAATTCGTTTATAAAATTGTTTTCGTAAACAAGCAAGCAATAAAAATTTAAGCAATTTTTTTTAATATATAAAAAAAATATTGTTGAATTCAAAAAATATTATTTTAGGACAAATGAAATTAAAATTAACGCTGCACAAATGGAATTCTTCGCTGAATTCATGCGTTCACATTCAAATTCAGCAAAACACCTTTTGCTAAACTGCACTCAGGGCTAGGAAACTGCTAATAATTTATTGGAGGAGTTATTACGGAAGCTCAATATTTTTGGCCCGCCAGTTGAAGATATCGAAATGTGGAAGTATTGAAAAAGAAGTATACAAACATAAAATCTCCTTTAATGGGTTATTTTGGTGCCTTAATCGCCTACTTAAAATTCGTTCATCGACTTCACTTTAATCGGAAAAGAAACAAAAGCGGCCATAATTGCCTTTATTTGGCAAAATATTATAATATTTGCGAACAGCTGATTTAAAATTGTAAGAGAATAAGATGAACATGAAATCTTTTAGAATTTCAAATAATTACGATCCGATCAATAAATTTTATAAGATATACGTATCACGGAATTTTTCTTCGTACGACTGCGGATACCTTTATGGAACGCTCAATTATTTTTTTTATTAGACAATGATTACGTAGTCAGAACTACGTATACATTATGTATCTAATTTTACATACCAACATCCGCTTTGAACGGCTTTACAATGATCTCTAATACGTAATGGAAATTTCGTGGAAAAATGCTTTGGGGTATGGAATCGTCGTATTTCGGTACTATCCCATGGGTTGAGAGTTTCACTCAGCACAACTATGAACATCATTTTTGCTGGTATAGTGTTGCACAATACTGCCATCCAGAATGACTGTAATCTGGATGAAGTACAAGTGCATGAACCAGCAGAAACGTTCGTTGATGCTGACAAATACGTAGCTGAGGTGCAGGGTAATCCATTGTAAGATCTAGTTTAATGAGAGGTTATTTTACAAGACTAGCTTATTTGTATAAGAATCATAAGCTCATTTATAGCCATTGTTGTTTTCCTTTAGGCTATAATTATATAATTGTATTTATTACATGTAATTTAAATCAATTAAAGTCAAAGTGAATTTAATTAAATTTCAATTTTACTATCATTTATTAACAAAAAATAAAAAATAAAAATAAAAATGAAAACTAATGATTTTAAAAATCAGTTAAACAAATTGTATAAAAAAATTTTATTAAATGCCAACTGGCATGCAGGTTTGATGAATACATAACGCAAATTCTTGCCTATCTGGTGGTTATCTATACTCGGGTTAAAGGTTAAGTTAAACCGACATTGTATATACGGGCCTGAATGTGTGATTTTTTTATGTAAATATTAAAAAGAACGGTTTAGAATTTTTTTTACTTTCTGTATGTGTGATACCAAAACTGATTTTATGTTTGTATATTTTTTAACTAATTGGCTAATTTATTATGTTTTTACATTTCTAACACCTGATGACAAGAAGTATACCCTAAAACTTCCACACCCAACCAGAACTTTTGAATTTAGTTCAACAAACTCATTAATAAAAACTCCTAAAAATCGGTAAGTGTTCATACACGAATTTATATTATATATGAAAATTCTAAAAAAACTTTCTACGCATTGCATATTCAGTTGAGAATTTCTCTTTGTTGATATTTTTTCGCCGTCTATAAATTATCTCATAAATTTACGAATATTATATAATAGTATTAACAAAGAACAAAAACAAAAGCCAAGCGTACGACACGCATGAATGAAGATTGTAAATAAAGAGAAAGAACGAAGATGATGAAGTAAGTTCTTTTTACGTATTCACTGGAGAGTATAAAAACAGATTTGTCTGTGAGCTGCAATAGACATTTATTCCCAACTACGCAGCGAAGCAGCTTCAGGCCAGAACGTAGTATACTTTTATTCGAAGAATTAATTACACGTTTTGATTATAAATTCCCGAAGTATTCAAAAATTAAAATGGTTAAAATTGTTAGTCTGATTTAATTACATTCTGCATTTGTTTTCATTTATTAATAATTTTTTTTTTTGATTTTAAATATTTCCCCACAGTGCATAGTCCTCTTGATTTGCGCTTCAGCTTTCGCATTCGCCTCTGCAGCCACCATACGTGATCGGCCCGTAGTGATTGGTAAGCCAGCCGTCGTGCCCGCTACCGCTGTTGTCCAGACAGAGAAGGATTTCGTGCCAATTCTCAAGTCAGTGGCGGAACGCAAAGATGATGGCTCCTTTGTTTTCTCCTATGAAGGCGCCGATGGCAGTTATCGCGAGGAGGTTGGCATTGTGAAGAATGCCGGCACTGATGATGAGACTTTGGAAGTTTCAGGCTCTTACCGTTACCTCGATGCTGATGGTCAGCTGATTGAGGTGCGTTACACGGCGGGAGAAAATGGTTTTGTACCACAAGGCACTAATATTCCACAAGAAATTTCACTCGCCGCCAAGGCAGCAGCTGAGTTTGCGCGTAGCCATCCCGTGGAAGTTGAAGTGAAGTGAGATGAGTTGAATTTAGATAACAAAACTAATCATGATCAGTGATTGAAGAATTTTAAAGTGCTTTATAAGTACGCGTGTCTATTGCTAATAAATTAATGATTTTCATATTGCAAATAAAAAAAAAGTAATAAAATAAAAAAAATGTATAAAAGAATTCAAAAGTTAAGCCTTATTTAATAATTTGCATGTAAATTACAAAATTGCTAAGCCTTGTCTGTCACTGCTTGCCGCATTCCAATGGTGTCATGCACACTTGCGCACCTCACACGTTTTGTTTGTAACCTTTTCAAAAGTGACAACAACCAAAAATTATTTTTGATCCAGTCACTTTGTCATATAACCGTAAGTATAACACCCTAAATATGAGTGGTACACTGTAAATTTAAATGCAAGAGAGCTGTGGGAATATCGAAGAGTTATTATTATTTCGGCGACCGTAGCACCTCCTCCAGTTTATGGTGTGGTTTTGACTATTGACTATTTGTTTGTCTAGGAATTGAACTCTTGGTACTCCGCTGGAGCAGTGCGTGCTGCTAAATCTAAATACACGGCTATATGTGGTGTGAGTTGAGCTTTCATATCTTCAAAAAATATAAAAAAATAAGCATAAACTAGGACCACCAGCGCCGATTATCAGATGCTCTACACCAATACCTGTTTTTGTATCCTCTAACAGAATTTTCTCCTGGATTATTTATGTTACAGAACAAAATGATTTACAATCAAATTGTTGTACTGTAGAAAGCTTTCGGAAGTGTTTATTTCAAAAGTCTTCTTCCTCTGAACCAATTTTTGCCAAGCTGTACCTCTAACAAATATATCTTATCTAGATACCAAAGTCCATGGAGAGAAAGGTATGAAGGTAATGCCGAAGCTAAGTTGTCTAACTATCAAAAAGGTTGGAAAATTTTTAATAGAATTTATTCGTCTGAAATAATCAGCGCATGGCTTTAAAGTAGTATAGCTGATTTTTGAGTTGTATGTAGATGAATCGATGCAATAATGCCTTCAGTGGTATGAAGACGATCATCAACTCGAAGAATGTTTACAAGACTTTTGTAACCTATAATTTTGTGACATGCATTTCGATATTATATTTTCTTTTTTAACAAGACAAGCGGCTTTCAGTTGAATGTACCTTCCGAATGGAAGAGAATTTTCTGAGAATTGCTTGACATCTTTATGATTAACGTATTAGGTTGATTGGTTCACCTGACCATTGAATAAGTTCAACTTACCTATTTTTTGGGCGTGATGTATGAGGAATAGATTCCGGATATACACTTACAATGCTTCTTTTGCTTAGTGCAAGTACTTTAGTGGAACACTTTATATTTTAAACGATCCAGGACCTTAAGTATTCCTTTAGAGTACAAAAATAATAATGATATAAATATATTATATTTACGGTTATTGCTAGACATACTATCTGCACAATTTTCACCGCTCGAAAAAGAGTAGGAGGCATCCACGCGGAATAAGATTTTCGATTATTGGTGGCAATTTATGCTTAGCCTGAGTTTCGTTAAAACTTGTCTGTCCTAGTGCTTAGTAATACATCACTTGCACATTTATTGGCCAGATTTCATGGATGACTTCAAATGTCTCTGTTGAGTGGATCCACCCTCGTTAAGGTATTCCAAGTTCAGAGCATTTAGTGAAGATGCCGTCAACATGTTCCTTCCGGCTTATTTTTTTTTATAAAGGGCATATGACATTGCGTACTGACATTCGGAAGGCTCGGGTTCATATCCCGGTGCCACCAACATCCAAAAGTTGTGGAAAATTAATTTAAATAAAGAACTAAGTTAAATTTTCTAAATGCGGTCACCCTCGGCAGGGACTGTTTAGCCTGCCGGTGGAAAAGCTCGTCCGAAAATCGCTTCAGCGGTTACAAAGTGCCAATACACAACATGTAAAACAAATTATGAATTGAATGAACCCTTTTGCTGATTGTGTAACAATTTTAGTTTTCATTTCAGCACCTTCGATTTCATAAAAAAATTATTCTTACTGCTCTCAACAATTAAATTTTAAAATTCCTCAATTATTAAATTTCAACTGCTGAATAATTATTTTTTTTGTAGCTGAACAGTTTTAAAATCTCGACGCTTAACAAACGCTTCCCAATTATGACTCGGCATATTCCGTACGTTATGCGAATGTCACCTCTCGTGTCAATTAGACGGTTGGAGGGTATTCGTTGGTCTTATCATTATTATACTCGTATAATGACTATAAAGTGTAAGGTAGCGGGTTTAATTGGCAAACTTTTGTCTTTCTCCTAAAGAGACAGAACGCAGTGTTTCCGTGCTTACATAGAAGCCTTGCCTCTCAGCACAATCGGCTGTGATTTCAAGTGATTTCTTTATTGCACGTTTAAGACGAATGGAATGTTTGCCTGGAGCTACGTGTCAAGGAATAACATGGTTATTTACTCCTTTATTTATGGCTTTTCTGTTTTCTTCATCTAGACCCGTATCAAGTGGTTTGCCGTGAATGTACGCACTCTGTAGAAGTGAAAGCCACTCCCAGGGTTTTCTTGTTTGCTCCCTTGAATGCTTTCTAGCGGAAAAGATGTCTGATGACTTATCGATCTATGTATATTTATGTGACTGTGACTATACTAATCCTCTGTAACAGGTTTCGGAGATAAAATTACTTTGGGGTATATATCAGGCATATGTACATTTCCTTGTAAGCAGCATACATCGAGAAAACTTTTGTATGAATTGATCTGATCCACTTTCAACAAGGCATAAAGTATTTTAAACACACCAACAGCTTTCAGGGGCTTAAAGCTTTTTAAAAGCTCTTTTGACTAAAGAAGAAAAAGATGGAAGCTTGCGTCTTTATAAAAAAATACAAAAAAATCTAGAACCAGTGTAGAAGTATTTTTTTAGTAGTTATTTTTTTTTTTTGAGGAGCAACGTATTTACAGTATTTTGAGTTCAAAATACCTTGCCGGTGTAATTAATATTTTTTCCATTAAAATGCACTACTGTACTCCGTAAATCCAAGTTTTCTCGAAGTACAAACAGCGAAAAAACTTAAATTCAAATTCGAAAACAAATGAATTCATAACTACTATAAATTTGAAAGCATCCAAAAGTTATTTGTTTTTGAACGGCTAAAATTGTATTACTACCTTAGTTGCATTTGTATACAATACGAAATAAAAAACACACCAAAATACCCATCAAATTATAGGCAATAAATTTAAATAATTGTGAAATGAGAGATTATCAGAAAATTGCCAAAGTTGATTAGCCTTCACATATTTTTTTCTCACCGTGCATTGAAATCATCCGCATGTAAAAACACTTTTATTAATTTTACACAGAAAATTATATTCGTAAAATTAATTTCAGTCACTGATTCGCTTCGTTTGGGCAAAATGTTACCAAAACCATTATCAAGTCAACTCCAAACAAATCAAAATTCGCCACTCAAGTCAAGTCAACGTGATTTTTTGTTTCAAACGCGACGCCATGCGACGCGCAAGCGTGGTAACGCCTCAACTCCGCACACCGACAGCATAAGGCGCTTCCCATTTTGAAAAAGAAAACAAAAAACTGTTGTAGAAGAAGAAGCAACAAAAAAAAATTGGCAATACAGATTAAAAAAAAAAAATCGAAAAATGCCAAAAACAACAATAACCAAGTTAATGGCAGTAAAATTATGTCTCAAAGGCTTTTTAAAATAAATTCAAATCAAATTCTTTCAGCTGTGGCCTCTTGCAAATTATTTAAACAACGAAAAAAAAAAATTGCAACTACAATGAAAAATGTAATATATGTATAATAATTTTACACAAAAGTGCAACAACAATGTTGCAGTGCGAAAAGTATGCCAGATTGGAGGAGCGCCTAGCGCAAGTGAACACCTACTCAGTCCGCAAATAGTAGTATACATAAGTATGTACTCAATGCTACGTACAATTATACGTGTATATGTACTTTTTAATGCATATATTTAATAAACATATGTATGCCTGTGTGTTTGTGTACGCCTGTGCATCAACGTGGAACATGAACTCCAACCAATTCACTTGATAATTTTTGTCTATGACTTTTTTTTCGCCTTTTCTTTCTATCATTTTCTTTTTTTTTGTTATTATTGTTTTTACAGTTGTTTTACTACTAACTACCTCATTGCATACTGACACACTGCCTTAGTGCGAAACATTGTATCTTCCGACTTCTAAGCTTTACTCCAACGTCTTGTGAATTCAACGTTAGCCTCAAGTCTTTTTTGTATTTGTGCCTGTGTAGATATTATATATATATAGGTGATGTACATTTGTAGCTCCACTCAAGCGAGTGAAATCTGAATCTAAAACATTAGTTAAGCTGTCAAAATTATAAATTGTTGCAATTTTTACCTGCTCACTCGCTCATTCGTACGCTTGATTTTATTGTCTGCCTTCCGCGGCAGAAGCATCATCTTCAGCTCAACCGACGGCGGCTAAAGCAAAAGCTTCCCTTAAGTTGGTAAATTAAAGCCGTTAAGTTTTATTTACCCTCACACTTCATTACGCGAAATTCCACCAGAACTAAAGTAGTGAAGTTGTAATGCCTTTTAGTACCAGTTCTTTATGTAACACGCAAAGTTAATACCGAAGAGATGAAATTTAATAGCAATCTCAGAAGGTGACTGCAAGGACGGAGTTCACTAAAGATTAGCTTCATGATTGAAAGCTGCCATTTAGTATTGCTAAAAAATTTTATATCACTGACGTAGATGATTTTAAAAAAGTTTTCTAGAAAGGCCTCCCCCATCAAAACAATGTTTAGTTCCGTCCTTCGATGAATACGTATGAATAGATTTCCTAGTTCTCAATTAAGGCGAGCATATACTTCCGTTCTTATTTCTTTTATGCTTTATAATTGAAAAGCACAGAGTCTTAAGAGCTCACAGCCACCTCCTCTTAAGATTTAGCTGTAAGACCCGGATGCTAGGCTTCTAATAACGCAGCACTCAGTAACTAAAAGCATTAATTTGTTACGACTTGAACAAAAATCTCTGCGAAAGGAAGGCAAGGGTGTGTTCAGCATCAAAAAAAAACCTG